GGGCTGCGGAAGGGCGCCCCGTCGGGGCGTGACGCCATGCCACAAGGCGCTTCTCGCGCGGCCGCTGCTTGCGATGATGTCGGGCCGGATGAGCTGCGCGCGATGGAGGGTGAGTTGCACAGGTTCTTGCACAAGCTTACCGACGGTAACGCGGCGCATGCGGTGAACATAATGACCACCGCGTTGCGTTACATTCCTCAAAGTAATTTCGAGGTGCGGCCGAATCCATTCGGTTCTTACGGTGGCTCCCTTGACTTTGTTGGTGCTCCCTATGGTCTGGAGCCTGGTGCACTTCGTGCTGCTTCTGATGAGATTGTGCGCAACTGGGATAATGTGGAGATTCGTATAAAACAATTTTGGCACGGCTTCGAGTACGGTGTGCTACAAGACGAGGATGCGGATGCGTTTCCTGCTCACGTCAGGAGAATGCCCAGACAAGTTGCCTTTAATCTTAGCTCAGGGCGAGCGCGGGAATCGAAATTGTTTCCATGTCTTCGGCAAATTCTGCACACAATTCTAGAACGTGTCCGTGTGCTCGGGTTTCATTTGACACTCATGGACTTGCACGTGCTCCGGCAGTCTTCAGAACACGCATGTTTTGAGGAGCATCTCGATCTACACAATGCCAATGATGTCGCCATAATCTGTGTTCTTTCTAGAAGTGATACTCACGATGAAAGTGAAGATGCGGAAGAGTACGCTCAGGAAAAAAGTGGAGTTCACATCCGGACGTTACCTTTGTCTCAAACATGTCCCAAAGTACGTTTTTCATGGTTGTGTGTTGTGATGGAACTTTTGTAGGTGTGGCTGCCTTTAAAGCAGCCGGGCGACGGTGTCTTAATTCGCGGGAACAAGCACTACCATATAACGTGTCCTCCCCCGGACGGAGTTGAGATTTTGAAGCTAGTTCTATTTTGCTCGGAGGACTAGGATGCAAGCGTTAAAAATGTAAGTAGGTTGGGGGATAGGCGAGCGAGGTCGGTTGGGAACGTAACTAGTGGAGTTTTAGGTGCCAGCTCAAGCGTAGTTTCGTAGTGCTTCAATTGAGGTCTTTACGTTTTACGTTTCTTTGCTGCTATTTTTTCGCGTGTCTCTTGTGTCTTCCTGAGTTTCTCCTTGGCCTTCTGTGCTTCCGTGTCAGCTCTGTAGCCTAGCAGTTGCACGTACCGCGGCGTGCCACACCAGTGCTGATAATCGCACTCGAGCGGGGCTACTGGCTCGCCGGATAGTATGGTGCCCTGATTTTCACGATTTCTGCATGGGAGGCACCTGCACGCTATGAATCTGGTTTCAATAAACATCTTCTTTTTGCCATCTTTGCCCGTGCAAAACAGATCATCAGGATCTGACTCGGAGTCCACGCGCGCCAGGGGATGTTCTTTCGGCTCTGGCGTCCACGGGGCTTTGATCCTAACGCAATACAGCTGGCTTGAATGCGCGTTCGGAGCATCATAGTGGATGCCTCCATTAACTTCGTCTACAGTTGCCCAGCCTTGTACGTCCGTGTCCTCGTGTTTCGCTGCGCCGTCGTTGTAGCCCCCATATATATAACA